ATTAAAATTGTTCCCAAAATGAAGCACGTCCACCACATCTGCTGAAAAAACATGAATCTATCGTCTCATCCCTCTCTCTAACGATGATCATTTCGTTTTGTTAAAGTTAAATCTTGATCTAAGATAATATAGTTTGCATGGTTAGGTATTTTCCTAGCGATGACAGGAGTGTTCTGCCAGCTCATTTTGGGTTTTGGCCGGGAAACCCAACCGGAGAGGTCAGCAGCCGTGTCTTCTCGGCCAGACTTCCGGTGGTTTGCCGGCAGGTCCACCATAAGCAGCCGTTCGGAATGTTCAAGGGCGAAAATGCGATGAACTACGCATTTTCGACCTTTTTGATTGAAGCAATTATCATCATTTTCTTCATTAAATCCGTTTGCTTCCCTCTTCGCCAACCTCGTATCGTATGCGAGATCATCGTTAGTTCATTGATCTTAATATTCATTTTATTGTATAGTTTACTAAAATCTTGATTTGTAATAGTAAAAGAATGGTTTATGTTTTGAAGGGTGGAATGATGATAGGACCGTCATTGTTTGGAGGAAGCAGAAATTTCAATTACTATTTGTTTCCACCGATTGCGAATTACATATGCGCAAACTTGGGATTGATAGGATTCTTTTACTTCCTCTTCCTCACCGCGGCCATGACCGACGTTACAGCCATTGGGAAGGCACCAAGAAAGCACAAGTACATTGCTGCCATTGGCGTTTTCGTCCCCATGATCTGCGTGGGAGCCGTGGGGATGTCCATGCGTAACAAAATGCATATAAACATGAAGAAACCATCGGCCCTTGGAGGGATCGTGTTCGCTTTGGCTTTCAGTTCTTTCCCTGTCATCTACACCGTTTTGAGAGACATAAACCTTCTCAACTCCGAGGTTGGCAAGTTCGCCATGTCGGTGGCTCTCCTTGGAGACATGGCAGCGATCAACGTGCTTACGTTTTTTGAGGCATGGACACAGCTCGACGGTGGAGGCACCTATGCTTTAGTTTGGTTTCTCGTGTCGGTGGTTATCTTTTCTTCCTTTATGCTTTTGGTTGTGAAACGAGGCCTTGATTGGGTTGTCGCTCAAACGCCCGAGGGCAAACTGGTAGACCAAAACTACATTGTTATGATTCTCATGGGTGTTCTTGTCGCTTGTTTTCTCACGGATATGTTTGGTTTGTCTATAGCTGTTGGACCCATTTATCTAGGGTTGCTTGTCCCACATGGCCCACCCTTGGGTTCCACCTTGGCTGTTCGGAGCCAATCCTTCATCCATGAATTTTTGATGCCATTCACCTTTGGTTTGGTGGGACTCAACACAAATGTTAACTTTCTTAATGACGAGATTTGGCCACAACAGCTTTCTCCTCTATTTTACATGACCATCGTTGGCTTCATCACCAAGTTTGTCTCCACCGTTGCCGCTGCTCTCTTCTTCAAAGTCCCCACAAGAGACAGTCTCACGCTTGGCCTCATGATGAACTTGAGAGGCCAGATCGATATCTTGCTCTACTTACATTGGATCGATAAACGTATGATCGGCTTACCCGGTTTCACTATCATGGTTTTGCATACGCTTGTTGTCACGGGTATATCGACGCCGCTCATCAGCTTCTTATACGATCCCACTCGGCCTTACAGGAGTAGTAAGCACCGCACCATCCAACACACTCCCCCATCCACCGAGATGGGACTAGTTCTTGCCGTCTCCGATCACGAAGCCTTGGCCGGCGTGATCACTTTCCTTGACATCGCCTATCCCACTAAAACTAGCCCCTTCGCTATATTCGCAGTCCAGCTGGTGGAACTGAAGGGGCGAGCCACGCCATTGTTTATTGACCACGAGCAGCAAAG